GCTACTATGAAAATATCTATATTAAAACAGATTATTAAAAATATCTTTAAAAAAACATACAACGTCAGTTTGATGCCATTAGTTTTTCGCTGAAAAGAAAGTAGCACACAGTTGTTAAGCCATGTTGCATGTGCCTCCAGCTGCAGCTGCGGTTTATGATCATCTGAGGTGAAATGCAGCTTCAAGCTGCCGCTGTTGTTTGCTTTGCAGACGTGCTGCAACTGATGCTTTCAAAGCTGGGTGAAGCTTCGAAACCTTTGCAAATCATTTGCTTCGAAGCAGTTGCCAGTTTTTTTATTTTTTATTTTTTTATTGCTTGAAAGAGAACATACAAAATACCAAGTAAACAACAATAAGAAAAATCTTAATACAAATCCAAAAAGTTCAAATAGCAGCATAAAAAAACAACAAATATAAATAAAATAAACATAATTAGAAAATGAAGAGAGAAAAATAAATAAAACAGAAATAAAATACAATACAAGTGGCCGACATTTCAATGGTTAGCCGTTGAGGATGGCCTTTGTGAGAACCATAAATCATGTGGATTTACTGAGAGCGCCCCCCAGCGGCGAACAATTGAACGTCTATGGTTTTTCTTGATCAGTTTCATGATTTTGTAGACATATTTTTAATTAGACATTCGTTATTAAAATGAATAGTAATGGTTAATAGTATCTTATTGGTCTGTTTAGACAAGCCCTCCATAAAACAAACAATATGCAACTATATGGAAACAAGCCATGAAAAGTATTATTAATGATTTAAAAAACTCTTAATTAATGGTATTTGATGATTTGTTAATTTCATTTAATATAGGCTATTATTCTTTCAATAAAACATTTGCAGTGAGTTTGTAAAAACTGTTGGTGGTGGTATTGAGAGCTTTAAAACAGTGAATCATTTTGTGAAACAACTTGTTCAATTGATTTGAAGCTTCAAAAAAAGTTTGTTTCTGCCATCACTAGTTGCAACAATTAGCGTTCTTGTTGCTTTTGTGTGAATGGCAACCATTATCAGCACAGACAAACCTTCAGGATTACTTCTTTAATGGCGATTGACAAGCCAACTCACTCCAGCTGGACTGGAGTGTGAAGTGTGTCCATCCATCGTCAGCATAGAGAGATCTTTTTATATCTGTTTCTATGTTTTGGGAAACTTAATGGTGATCCAACCTTTACCTTTACAGTTCTATCAAGCAAAAAATCTTTTATTCAGTGAAATGTCAACAATAACGCAATAGGCCTATAATGTGCAGTATTATGCTTGTTCTGGCAGAGTACATGTAGAAGGATGTCTTCATGTGTTCCACACTTTATTAAAAAAGACATATCATTCAAAGACAAATCAGATACATTTTTTACTGTCATATAAATTCTTCAGAACATAATCTGCTGATTAAAATGATTTGTAACTGCTTAAAAAGCTATGTGATAAATGTGATGTTTGCTGCTCCATGTTATCATCTGTTCTGTATAGAAGTAGTTCTTCAACAAACACAAATCTCAGTATTTGTATTCAGCTTTGTGATTAAAACTAAGAAACAGCTTACAAGATCAAGCTTTGGAGTAAAAATGAGCAAGTACAACACCTCTTCTTCAAAATTATATTTAGTTACTGATCTATCTGTGAATTTAAAACTAGGGTTAGTTAAATTACAACCATTTAAAACATTTCGACATGAATTAGGTCTTGTTTATAAAGGATATTTCAGCACTCTGTGGATGAATATTAGCACCGTGTGTTGTTTGCTTTTGGTATTTTTAACATTTAGAGAAACAGTTGGTCTGTTATTCATTTTCTGTTGCATAAGCAGGTTCCTGACTGAGTTTGTGTTTCCTTGCAGAAATCAAAGACGGAGGCAGTGTATGAAAATATCCCCAAGAAACGATGATCAAATACCATAACTGCAGTTCGTGCTTATATGAGCTTTTGGTTTTGTTTACATTTATTCTCTGTAGGATGTCTGTATTTGTTTTCGCTCCTGTTTTTTTTTTTTTTTTTGCACAAACACTCCCATGCACATATTGTAATGTTTGAAATATTGTTGCTCTGTATTAGTTTCACAAATAGCATGCACAAATATGACTACGAAGTTCTATTTTTAGCTTATTATATGGGATTATAATGATATGTTGTTTGTCATTTACTGCACTTGTTTTTGGTTTGCATGTGTTTAACAACAGGGGTTTTCAAACCTGTCCTGGAGGCCCCAGCACTGCACACTTTGTACTGACTCCCTTATCTAACACAATTGATTCCCCAGCTAACACATTTGTGTTCTAAGAACATTTTCCAAACACTCCATTTTGGTTATGGGAATGTTAATATGTCCAGTTTTCTTAATGTTAGTGGATTTTTTTTTTTTTAAGGTTAGTATAATGTTCTTGAAACATTCTTTCTGCTTATTTATTAGCAACTCAATATTCTAGGGCGAGTTGTTCAAAAGTAATCTGATCAGATTTAGGATATTGGATTGGATCAAATCTTGAAAATGTTCAAAAGAAAAAAAGGTCTCTGAAATCAGATTAGATCACAAAAGCCAATCTTGGTTTTGATCTGGATCGAATCATCAGTCTGTGCTGATCATTCTGATCCAGATTAAGATTTTTGAACAACTGGCCCCTAGGGACATTGATTTGTAATATTCCAAGAACATAACTTTCCAGTTTCCTTAATGTCAATATAATTTCCTTTAAAAGTTAGTATGATGTTCTTGAATCATTCTTTCATTTTCATTTTTTATGAACAACTCAGCATTCTTCACAGCAAAATTATCAGTGTTAAATAAACACCATGGGGCCAGTTGTTAAAAAGCTTAATCTGGATCAGAACGATCTGGATTTGGAAATCCCATGTTTTGCTGTCCAGGATCAGGTAACCCATCTTACTTTTCTGCTGGTTTTTCAAAGCAAAATTGGAATAGATCACAATGATCCAGATACACACATTTTTTCAGATGACCAAATCTGGATTAGTGCTCTACGGAGCCCCTAAAGGGACATGGTGATGAAAAAACAAAATGTGAATTTTTTTTTTTTTGCATTGTATTTACACAAATAACTATTTTTGACTGGTTCATCACTGATGATTGTGCCAATGTAGTTTACAATCAGTGAGCTACACTTTAAATCAAAGATGTTCTTGAATCATTCTTTCATTTTCATTTTTTATGAACAACTCAACATTCTTCACAGCAAAATCCTCAGTGTTAAATAAACACCAGGGGCCAGTTGTTAAAAAGTTTAATCTGGATCAGAACGATCTGGATTTGGAAATCCCATGTTTTGCTGTCCAGGATCAGGTAACCCATCTTACTTTTCTGCTGGTTTTTCAAAGCAAAATTGGAATAGATCACAATGATCCAGATACACACATTTTTTCAGATGACCAAATCTGGATTAGTGCTCTACGGAGCCCCTAAAGGGACATGGTGATGAAAAAACAAAATGTGAATTTTTTTTTTTTTGCATTGTATTTACACAAATAACTATTTTTGACTGGTTCATCACTGATGATTGTGCCAATGTAGTTTACAATCAGTGAGCTACACTTTAAATCAAAGATATTTTAGTTTGATATTGACAGCTGTTTGGGGATATATTACAAATGTTGTATTTCTGGACCAGTATTAAAGTTCCAATTCAAATTCGTTCTTAAATTGTGTAATACTTTTTTCACATTGACGGCTATTCCAGTTTTACATTAGTTTTTTTTTTTTTTTCCTTTGGAGTTTGTTAAAACAGACTTGTGTTTTTCCAGGTAAGAGAGAGTAGTGGCATTATGAATCATCATCACATGATTGAATCATCACATAAAGACAAAAACGTAACTAAATGTGTAGTTACTTCATTTTGCCTTTGGAAAGCAACACTGAAATGGCTCTGGACAAAATATCAAAATAATATTAAAAACTCTGAACATCCGCATGATCATATAAATATTACAACAGTAAATCATAGATTGCATTTATTCTTAAAATGACTCCCTGGCATTGACAAAAATAAACAGGATATGACCTTTCTAAAAAAGGTGTGACGTCAAGAACACGTCTTCTTCTCAGAAATAAGTTCTCTTACAGGAGCTAAAACAACCAGTGAAACTAACACTGCTTATTCAGCATTTAACAGTGTGACTTGTGAGGTCATGAAGAGACATGCATATGCATAAGTATCAATTTTGATATTTCACATTACACTACATGATATTTTCACATTTCACATTCGCACAGCGATATCAATGTCTAAGAGAATCTTTTATTTGTCAGAATTTATTAATGGGTTCAGTATTTTTAGTGAAGGCAGACATCAGTCTGTAAGCTTCATATGAACAGAAATGGAAAAAGCCCTTCACCCACACATTATTCACACAGACACACAACTAACACCTCAGACATACACTCACAAACTGACATCGACCACAAAAATCTAGCAGTGTACATTCTCATGAAGAAGCCATTTATACGCCCAGCAGGTTGGAAGATAATTTTTGTACAGCTGTAAATAAATCCAACCACAGAAGGTTTCAATCTGACTCACAAACTGAGTTTTTAGTGGAGCCAGAGCTTCCAGGGGCCTCCAAAGAGAGTCGAACTCTAGGGGCCATCTAACCACTCTGTATAGCAGTTGCTGACCGCTACTAAATAATGTGTTTCCTTGTTGTTTTAGCCAAATTAACTCTAGGTGTGTTCATCTTCAAAAGGATTTAACCGAAAGGTGAGGTTTGCGGCTTGCAATTGGGGGAGGAATTAAAAACCGAGACCTGAAGTTGAACACTTTCTGTTTTCCATAGTGACGTTATTTTACAGTAAAATTCCGGCAACCACAGCTGCCGGTTTTTTACAGTAAATTTTTCAGATTTTTTTTTACAGTGTACTGCTTAATGCAAGCTCTGTTTGGTCAAGAACAGAGTTCAGTATGCTAATTAAATACCAATGAATTGTGTCTATAATACGTTTTATTTTGATAAACATGACACAATAGTACATTAAGGTTAGGCTACAAGAGAAGACTTTTTACTGGTATAAAAACATGGATTTGTGGAACTGAATGGCTGCGTCCAAAATCACGTACTTCCCTGTTATGTGACAAAAGAAGTATGTCTGAATACACAGTACTCAGTAAATATTTCAAAGCTCAAAACAGGTCCAGAAATTCTGCATACAGTGTCCGTCATTTGTCGGAGAAAGCGGAAAGGGGGTTTTAGTCACTGCCGGTGTGAACAGGACTTAAGGTAGCTACTGCATGTGTAGTGATTGTCAACAATCCCAAAACTCATCTACAAGTTTGAAAGAACTTGTTGTCAGCAGGAGTTGTAATGGCTGTCGCAGGATTTTGCAGGTCTGGTATATTTGATCTTCTCATGGCGATCGGTGCATACTCTACTTGAGCTTCCTCTTTAACATTCTGTAAAAACAAAAATACAATAAATATATATATAGCCAATATACAATCTTACTGAATATAGATTAGAGATTCAGGGTGAGTTTAGAGTTTCTTTTTTCTTTTACTTGCAGTGATCAGGTTGAGAACTGAAATACTGTAAATGGTCTTTAAAATCTATTTAGGCTAATAATGCTTTTGGGAAATGCAGCCCAGGACAGTATGTACCACTGACATAAAAAAAGTGCAAAAATTTAGAGGTGCAACATCTTGTGACTGCGGCAGTAGCCTTAAAAAAAATAAAAACATAAATTTGACTGACTGCTAAATTGATACAGAGATGAACAGCATACCTTTGGAATAAACCTTACTGTCTTATGCACTTTTCTGTTGTTGAATGTTGGCTCAATGTAAGTGATCTCTTCAGGAGTCTCAACTGTTTGAAAAATAATAATAGATGCATTAAACAACAACAACTCAATCTTAACTCTGGTTCTTCACAACATATGTGTTGTTATTATAGGGCTGTCAAAGTTAAAACATTAATGCACACATTTAATGGTTAATTAATTGTGCAATATGAACATGTTTAATTCTCCTTTACATGGTTTTAATGGCTTTAACAAATGAACTCAGTTTGAATTTCATACAGAAAATAAACTTTATAGACATTCTTTGCAGATAATTTATAAATCATACCAAGACAAATGCTAAAGTACTTTACATTTTATTGTAGTATGATGAAATGTAATAAGTTGAAGCTGAAATAAAATGTCACCCACCAGTGAAACGGTGTTATTCTAGACAATTTAATGTGAACACCAGCTGAGTGCTGCATCTTTACACATGTAGGATTATGTTTCTGAGTTACTGTATCATTAAATTAATGCAGAATTGCATTATCTTGTATCTGTATTTCCGGTGTGTTTTAATGCATTTTGAGACATGCAGAATTTGTTTTTCTGAACTAGACGAGTAAAGAGCGTTGCCCAATGTCACTTTATAGATAACAGCCAAACAACTTGCCTTTTTGATCAGTTTTTCTACATTTCCTGCACGTGAGAAATATCCCGAATGCAGCCACAATCAACAGAGATCCAGCAACAGCAGAAAAAAATATCAACACTATCAGAGACAGAGAGCCTGTAATGATAGAGAGACACAATCATTAGTGTGAGTGAAATTGTCAGTCTGATCTATTGATACATGAACATCCCTCTCAGTTTTTGCTGCTTTACTTGTTGACATCATAATTTACTGTATGCTTTTGATTCAGTTTCTGATTGTGAATTTGACAGATGTTTGCTATAATGTTTTAATGAATTGGTTGTCTGCATTTATAAAGAAACAGAATGTAACGATTGTCTAATCACTGAAATCAGCTCTGGTCATTATAATCAATTCAGTAAATATAAGTAAACACTAATATCAACTGTTGCATGTTTCCAATGTCTTGTTAGGACTTTTGTGTTACTTCCTGTCTTGAGTGCCATGTTTGTAGTTCTTTTCTCAGGTGATTGTTTCCCCCAGGTGGGCCTCTTGCATAGCCCTTGCGTTTCCCCGTTTTCAGTTGTAGATGTGTTTCTGTTCCCCACGGTCCTTGTTTCTTGGTTCTTGTTTTGCGTTTCAGTTTTAAAAAATAATAACCTCTTGCATTTAGATCTGTCTCTTTGCCTGCCTTCTCATCTACTCCACCATTGGTACAGTGTCACATTTACATATACATTTGCATAGTGAAATTTTACAGGCAAAGTCAGAAAAGGTGGGACCGAATGTGAAGCGTGTGTGAAAGCCACATGTATTCCAGGTTGTGGACTAGGTAACGAATCAGTGCTAATCAACTGTTTTTGGCCTGTAGATTAATATCATTTAGTTCTGTCTCAAAGCTAACTTCTTTCCAAGCAGCTCTTCTTAATGCAGCCATCTTTATTGAAAAGTTCAGGTATAAAGAAGTGGCTGAGTAGATACAAACACACTGTGTGCTGTTTAGTGTAGCTGAATGTATTGAAGCACAACTATTGGTCAACTCTTCTCATCCAATCTTCTCATTGAGACTGACTGTATTTCACCTTGACCAATCCTTTCAGCACATGACCAGTAGACTGAGATGAGTAAATAAATGCTAATCTCACCTGAACATGGTTGACAGAGTTGAGTGATGTCCAGATGTGTGGTCTGGTTGCTGATGGGATTGTTGAGTACACAGCTGTAGCGGTTTTTATCCTGATATTCCACCTCCAGAGGTAGAGAGAGACTGATGCTGAGATCAGACACACTGATGCTGGACAATAAACTGTTTCCTTTGTACCAGGAGAGAGTCACATGACCCACATTCACCACTGAACACACCAATGAACAATATGATGGTGTTGATGATGATGATGATGAAGAACATTGTGAAGAGTCTCTGCTGATGACAGGAACAGGCAGACGAGCTGAAAACATGAGTAAAATCAGATTAAATAATATTATTGATAAATAAGAAGGCTGTTTTTGACAGTGTTTAATGTGTTGAGGGAGAGTTTGTGATGTTATTCACAAACAATAGACTATTGTGATTACAGTTTTTTTTTCTTTAATTTGAGATGCCGACTTCATAATAATCATTCAAAATGAAAGTATTCAATAGGCTGAAAAGTAGAAACATAAATGTGTCTCTCAAGATTTATACTTTTAAGATTAAAATGTAATTAGGGTATACTTTAATTATAACAACGCAAGAAACTCACCATGGACAGTGAGACTGAAATTCTTGATCACACTGTTGGTCTTTAGTTGATAATGTCCATTATGTTGAGTTGTGGCGTTTGTGATGATCAGAGATGCAGTTTGATCGTCCAGCTTCAGTCTGTCTCTGAATCTCTCTTCAAGAACATCATCATATACAATGATGCTGTCGGCCATTACATTGATTTCAGCTATTAAAGTCTTGTTATATCCAAACCTCCACAGAATCAGATCATCATCCATTATTTCAGTAAGATCAGAGTCTAGAGTGACTGAATCTCCCTCCAGCACTGACACTGACTCCACTTCACCTGTATCAGCAAACACACCTGATGAAGAGATGTCACAGATTAAAGGTTAATAACTTTATGTTGGTTTACTTTACTATAGGATCAGATTATTATTATTTAAAAGTGAAACGAAGAACATATAAAACATATAAAACACACATTTATCACTTACCAGCCAGTTTGCACAAACACATGCAGAACAAAATGACAACATGAACCATTTTCTTTAAGCACTGTACGGGTATAGCATCTGAGAACAGACTGCTAGACAGGACAGAAGTGAGATCAATCCAGTGTGTGAATCCTCCCCCAACCCAACAGCATCTGACCACCCTTCACTGAAAGCGCTCTAGCTGTGACCACATAAGCCTACATGACACAGTAGTCACAAAACATTCTCTAGCTTTACTGTTCTTACAAGCAGAAAACTTTAACATAATAATCTGTGGATCACAATTTTTCTGTATCTTTCACTCTACAAATAGGGCGCAATTGTACTTTGTTAACGTGCAGGAATTTTCCGTATTGATACTCCACAGGTTTTACCTGTATTTTGAATTATACATTGCACTGTGTTGTGTTTAAGGTTTAAAATAAACGTCTGTAAACTGAAGAGTTCATGAATGATGCATGAAGGGTAAGAATCCTGCCAGTGTCTTGTTTCCCCAAAATTAGTGAGGGATTCATCACTGCATTTCAACTAAAAAGGTGCTTTTGTAGCGCAATGAGTAAGTATTACACTCCAGAAATGTAAACCTGAAAGAAGTAGGCTATAGATTATGTGTAGTATTAAACATACAGTGTGTGCTTAGTTAAAAAAAATTGCAGTCTCAGTGTACTTCAGTTGGTGTCGGTGAAATTGCGTGGTGGGTTGTGGAACTGCACTCTCGCTGAATCTCGAGAGAGTTTGAGTGCGAGAGTAAGTGTGAACCACGCGCGTGCCGCCCGCTACTAAAATAATAGGCTCATGTTTTCCAGGTAAGTTGGTGGCACGTATGTGAGACTAGAGTATTAATGTTTGTGTGTTTATTTCCCGATCCCGAGGTGTTTTAAAAGTGTGTGAAGCAAGTCTCTGCAGTATTAACCGTGTTATGCGTTGATTTATGAGTTTGCTCGTGTGTTAAGAGTTCATGTGATAATGTTGTATATAACGGAGATATCGTTCTAATCATTTCATGCTGAGTTATAGGATTATATTTGTATTTTAAAACGTAATGTTTAACATATTGAATCTCTAGAGTTTGAGAGCGAGAGTGATGCGTTGCCGCCGCTACTAAAACTATTAATTCATATTTTTTTCTGAACAAATCCAAACCTTTTTGTGAATTCCTCGTTGCACAATGGGAAGGGTATGGACTGGAATCAGACTGTGAGAATAGTAAACTCTTATTGTTTCTGTACAATACTGTGAATAACTAAGATTACAACAGGTTTCACTCTGACTTGATTCAGTGTGGCGCTTACTGCACGCTCAGAAAAAAAAAGGTACAAAAGCTGTCACTGAGGCGGTACCTTTTCAAAAGGCACACCTGTGTACTTCAAGAGTCCACATTGGTACCTTAAAGATACATATAATCGCCTTAAGTGTACATTTAAGTACCTTTTAAAGGTAAAAAGTGAACCTTTTGAAAATGTAACGTCCCAAGTGACAGCTTTTGTACCTTTTTTTCTGAGAGTGTGGGTTACATTCAAAGTCTTTGGTTACATTAACGTTTTTGTTTTGTTTTTTAAATAGAATAAGGTCTTGTATCGATCGTGAATGGTTAAAATGGAACCCCGCCCAGCTGGGATCACGATTCAAATCACGCGAATTTGCTTTCTTTCTCTTTCCTTTTGACTTGAATCAAAACCATAATTTGACCTACAAGGTTTATTGTCATTTTATCTGGATAAATAGGTCATGTTTTTTTTTAAATTATTATCCGAAATTGATTTATATTTACACACTGAATATCAGATCTGGCGAGGGTTTCGGTTTATTGAGGCTGGAAGAGAAAGCCTTAAATTACAACGGAGCAACACTATTGGAATTAAGTCTAACAAACACAGCTGTTGACATGATGGGATGCTGTTTTTTGCTCACTCTGTTTGTTGTGCTCATTCATGGTAAGACGTTTAAATTTGTAACATCAAATCTTTCGGGTTTCAGCGATGGAAAATGACATTTTCACATCATCAACTCCTTAAATCGTATCTTGGATTGTATTTGTCGATGCATTTGTGTTTGTACCCCAAGAGTTCTTTCGTTTTTATACCACATTTCTCCAGGAAAAAAGGTTCAGTGGCTTGCTGTTAATTTAAAGGGGTCATATGACGCTGCTAAAAAGAACATTATTTAGTGTATTTGGTGTAATGCAATGTGTATATGCGGTTTAAGGTTAAAAAACATTATTTTCCACATACTGTACATTATTGTTTCTCCTCTATGCCCCGCCTTCTGAAACACGTCGATTTTTACAAAGCTCATCGGTCTGAAAAGCAAGGTGTGCTCTGATTGGCCAGCTATCCAGTGCGTTGTGATTGGCCGAATTCCTCAAGCGCGTGACGGAAATGTTATGCCATTTAACGTGATGCAGAGTCCCAGCATGACAAGACAAAACCAACAAAACCCATTACAAACGAGGCATTTGTTGCATCCAGTGGGCACATAATTACTGATTATACTGTCTTTTTACGCGTTGCGTATAGCGCAACGTAAACATAAAACCATGTCTGCATTTGTGATCGGAGAAAGACAAATTCTAATAAAGACAAATAAAAATATGTAAATGTATTTACTAGGGGTATGCCGGTATCAAATTTTCATGTTGCGATTAATTGCTAATGCTTTTATTACGGTATACGGTATTATCACGATATTGAAATTTCGTTTAAAAAAAAGTGCTGTCATAATACAGTATAACAGGTTTAATAACTTTTTTCTTAAAAATAACTGAACATTTAAACATGTGGGGGCATGTTAGAACGAGCCGTTTTAGGAGGGCATGGACAAGAGACTGGGTTCGAGTCTCGTACCGGCAGGGATTGTAGGTGGGGGGAGTGAATGTACAGCGCTCTCTCCCACCTTCAATACCACGACTGAGGTGCCCTTGAGCAAGGCACCGAACCCCCAACTGCTCCCCGGGCGCCGCAGCATAAATGGCTGCCCACTGCTCCGGGTGTGTGTTCACGGTGTGTGTGTGTTCACTGCTGTGTGTGTGTGCACTTTGGATGGGATAAATGCAGAGCACTAATTCCGAGTATTGGTCACCATACTTGGCCACATGTCACGTCACTTTCATAAAGAATGTCTCTTTGGATTTGAGACTTTAGTTTTTGCAACTTTACAGATCTTCTTTATGCACCAAGAGCTTGTAACACTCCAAAGAGAAAGGAAAAATTGAAATCGCATCATATGACCCCTTTAATGACTCGTCAACATAAAAGCTGCATTTCTGATGCGTTGAAGTTTAAACTGACTCTGCTCAATATTTTCAGCAGAAATATTTTATGAATAATTAACTATATGACGTTATTGAAAACTCAACAATGGTTGTATATTATATAGCCAGTTTTGTTTTTGTTTTTATATCCTATGCCTGTGTTGCCTGTCTGTTTCCTTCATTCCCATTTCCCCTCTTGTTAGTTTCTATGGTATCTGATTTGCCTACAACTGTTAAGCGCTGTGTTTCCTTAGTTCCTGGCCACCCGTGACACTGGCCATCCATTTAGAGTGTATCAGACACTGGGATGGACTCCTGAATCTCTGTGTCCTACATAGGACAAGGGTTCTTGACTGAATGTTTAAGAACCCTTAATGCCAAAAAGGTTCTATATAAGGAGAAATATCTTAAATGATTGCTTATTACTCTCATGTTTAACATGTTTTTTTTTTTCTAATGATGAAGCATGCTTACAAACTGTTTTATTCATAACACTTCATTCAAATTAAAAATTATATATTAAGTAAACATTATTGAGTAACTATATATTTGTGTTTCCAGGTGTTTTTGGTGATGATGTGGTGACAGTGATGGAGGGAGACACAGTCACTCTACACACTGATATCACCAAAAAAGAACATGACAAGATGCTGTGGTATTTTGAAGACACTCGCATAGCTCTGATCAATGGACATCCCAATACAAGCTGTTTATATGATGGTGAAGACGGGAGATTCAGAGACAGACTGGAGGTGGACTATAAGACTGGATCTCTGATCATCACAGACATCACAACTGAACACGCTGGACGTTATGAAGCAGAGATCATCAGAAGCGAGAGTTCAGGAAAAAGGCAAAGTCTGAACAGAAATCGCAAGTGTGACAGCACAAAAATCACCAAAAAAATCAGCATCAGTCATGATGATACCATAAAAACTTTCAGTATGATCGTCATTGGTGAGTTACTCAATGTAATTTACCCTTAAGTTATTTATTTATTCATTTTTGAAGAAATTAAATATTAGAACACGAATCAGTGATTTTTCTATTATAATACAAAAATAGATAATATAAAACCAAATTCTAGTTCATTGGCATACGGTAAATTAAATGGTTCGTCAGCATAAAACGGCACTTCTGATTAAATATGTGTTATTACTGAAATCCTGTGATCCTACATAACACAAGTGGATTAGAAAAGGGATGGATAGATGGATGTTATTGAAATTATCATTTAATAACTGATCTTTTGAAAGTGACGTGACGTGTGGCCAAGTATGGTGACCCATACTCGGAATTAATGCTCTGCATTTATCCCATTTATCCCTGCATTTATTTTAAGAACCTTTTCATGATGACCAAACATACTATAATTGATCACTGATGGTTCATGTTTCTTTGAAGACACCATGAAATCAAAATTGATGATTCTTATTTTTCATGAAATATTGCAGTATTTTTTGATTTATCACTCCACAACATCTTTTCCCCAAATTCATGTACCCTCATAATCTTTAATCAGAGTAACTTTCCCATCTATCCAATGATCCAGTCAATTCCCAAATGGACAAAATCAAGTCCCACCCTATATTTCTTTCTTTTCTTTTTTTTCCTTCTTCAGTTAATTCATTTCAATCACACACAGGGAAGAAAAGACTATCACAACTTGAATTGTAAAGCATATTATTAATCTGGCATTGGAGAAATTTAAAATGATTCCTGTAGTTATACAAATGAACAGAAACTGCCAAAAGGACTTATTCAACAGTTCAACATCAATGTGTCCTTTGGTATTTCTTTATTTTTATTCCAGCTGCTCTGTCTGATCAAGTCAAAACCGACGAAGAGCCCCGTATGGAGAAGAGGGAGTTTGACTTGAGTATATTTTCACCTTTCCTTTTTTATCTCTTAATAGATTGCATATAATGTAGTACAATATATTTATAAATGCATTGTTCTTAAGGGGAGCTTGACTTTACAGTTCACTTTAAATGATTTTGCTGTTGTTCTTTCAAAAACGTAAATTTCATTAGAACACAAAATACTACATTTCTGGAGGCCAACCTCATAGACTATTCCTAAACCTTTCATAAACTATTCCATTATGGAATAATCCCTATTTTTTTAACAAAGGCATAAGATGTTTGGATATGCAAAAGTGTCCATAGAGAGAATATATGTAGTTAACATGGTATATAAACACGTTGTCATATTCTCTCGCATTAATGACTGTCTGTCTTCTCTCATTACAGATTCAGGTCTGTCTTCAGCTGCTGTAGCAGGAATATGTGCTGCTGTTCTGCTGCTGGTGACTGTTGTAGATACTGACTCTAAGCTTTTGAATGGTAGAGTGTATAAAGTTACAAATGCTTTTTATTTCACATAAATGCTGATCTTTGGATCCTTCTATTCATCAAAGAATCCTGAAAACATTTACTCAACTGTTTTAAATATTGATGATAATAATAATAATAATTAAAAAATGTTTCTTGAGCAGCAAATCAGCATATTAGAATGATTTCTGAAGGATGTGACACTGAAGACTGGAGTAATGATGCTGAAAATACAGCTTTGATCACAGCAATCATTTTAAAATATATTCAAATAGAAAGCAGTTATTTTAAATAGTAAAAATATTTCACAACATTACTGCTTTTGCTGTACTTTGGATCAAATAAATGCAGGCTTGGTGAGCAGAAGAGACTTCTTTATAAAACATAAAAAATCTTACTGTTCAAAAACTGATGACTGGTAGGTTATATAGATTACAGATAGATGTCCCCCTCACTTCTGAAATGATGGCTACGCCCCTGGGTTAACGGTTAACCGGTTAAAATGAGCACCCCTAATCTTCACTGTAAAACATAATACATTAATCTTTTATTTCCCTTGTTTTATTAGCATTAAAGCCAATTTACAAGCACATAATTATTCTAGGTTTTGTTTTTAAGGTTTAACTTGATGAAACGCTAATTGTAAAACTGGACACACTAATTGTAATGCACTTAGCTGTTTACCCCTTAGCTTCAAGGGAGTATCCATATATCACAGTTGTGTTTCTGTTTTTTTTTATTTTGGATTTATTATTAATTTATAATCATGTAGTAATTTATTCATGTTTATTATATTATTATTTTCCATGCTCTTGCAATGCTTTCAATTGTTGTTCACTTTTATCATTGTGTGGATTCAAGGGGTATTTTTCTTCAGGACTAAGAGATATTGTCTTCATTTAAATATTTTTGTAATATTTTCCATTGCTTTGGTTTTGGTATAACTCTTTTGAATTCGTGCTGGTCAGATGTAGTGCAGGTGAAGTGTGCAGCTAAAATAATTTATTATACCAACTGTTAACTGTGTGACACTAGCTGTAAACTGATCTAGAGTACATTTAAATGTAGTAATTTAGGAAGATGTATCATGTTTTTATTCAAATCAGCAGATGAGCATCACAAGCACTTTAACACAGGAGTTATTATAATAAGATGAAGGACGGATCCTTGTTCCACCACAGCTCAACAGAGCAGGTTAAGGTTCTGGAAAGTGACTTTGAACCTTGTTGCAAGGTTCTTTGTGCTAAATAAATACAAATAAAATAAAATGTGACATTTTTAATTATTATTATAATATATATATATATATATATATATTGTTATTTTTAAAAATACAAGTCAAAAATTAGCCGAATTCTTGACTGATGTGATAATAAGTAATAATAAACATAATGAAAACTGAGGAAATTGTCTTTGATCCAAAATAAATAGGCGACTATCGTCAAATGATTATACATGATGCACATTATGCAAACTTTTCCTGTCACTGTTCAGAACTGTTACTTTCATTGTACCTCAGAGGTTGAAATGTCGTCCGCTTGGAATTATAAGGTTCTATCTGCATTCCGAGTAGTTTTGAGATTTTGAGCTTCAAAGTTTTTGCATTCCATTCCACTGTGCAGATAGAACCTTTTTGTTTTTTTTAAATAAAAAGTCCCAAAATGTACACATTAAAAAATCTATCACATAATGTAAATAAGTTGTCACAGAATAAGAATATGTGAATAACTCCATTTTGACAAAAATGTCAGATAGAACCTTATAATTCCCAGGGGACTATGTTTTTTCAAGCTTTGCCCAAAAACTGTATAATGTTACTCAACATTTGAAATAATTAGTGAAGGTCAATGGATGCCATTGTGTGAATAATATGTAATGTAATCCATAAGTAACTGTAATCTGGTATAAACAGACCTGTAAGCAGTGCAACGTGTAGTTACTTATTACAAATTACATGAAAATTGTAGTTTGTAATGTAATCTAGATTACTCTTTTTAGGTAATGTATTCTGACTACTTTTGAACTGACTTGTCTGAAATCTCAGGTGACTTCAAGTAAATAGTTTATGGTTATACATAACCAACACATTATGCAAACTTTTCCTGTGACTGTTCAGAACTGTTTCTTTCATTATACCTCAGAAGTTGAAATGATCTTTCAAGCTTTGTCCAAAAACTGTATCTATAATGTTACTCAACATTTAAAAAGTCAGTTCTGGGATTCTCATCCATTGTCTTAATTTAGAAACTGGTTAATGATTCTGTATAAACCTCAGACCTGTAAGCAGTGCAAAGTGTAGTTACTTAATATTACAAATGACGTGAAAATTGTAGTTAATCTAGATTAGTCTTTTTAGGTAATGTATTCTAACTACTTTTAGATTACTTTTGAACTAACTTGTCTAGAATCTCAGGAGATTTCAAGTAAATATTTGAGGTCAAAGGGGTTTGTCTGACAAAAAGAATTTTTTTGTGTGAAATCTTTATGGAGAAAATGAATGGGACAAATACTTCCAGAACAAAAATTACTCTCTCACTGTTTTTGCTGTATTATCATATTTATTCATGCATGAGAAAAATGATAAATTTGTGTCTATAATAAAAAGTCCTCTTCGGATTTCCTGTGGCATGTTGTCACTGCTGTTTTTATTATTTAATTGTATTTTAGTGTATATTTATTTCATTAACTATTAAATAAAAATAATTCAAATTCATGTAGCTATAAGTAATTCAGTTCACTATATGTAAGTAATTTCTTAAGTAATTGCCTTAAACCATTCAAAAACTAATATTTATACTGTGTTTATATTTAAAACTCAGCTGAATTAATTAATAAATAATTAAACCAATTAAACTCAAATCTCTTGGAGTCAACCTTTAGCTAGCAATAGCACACATGCCTGAACTACTGTAACTCACTGATAGACATCACTGCACTGGAAACTACACAGTTACTGCCTTTTAACTAAAGCATCAAGGTTTTCTGCTCCATCTTTGCCTTAAACACAGGCTCTAGTCTTCAGCACAATCAGTGTTAAATGAACACTGCTCAGTGTGCACACTACAGAGTGTTAAAGTTACACTGAAGCATTTTTTTTTTAGTAAATTAGATAATTAAGTGATTAAGTGCTTATTCAGCATTAGTCAAAACATGCTTTTAACAAACTTAATCACTGAAAGAAAGAGAAACAAGAACAAAAAAAGGGAAGAGGTGAGTAAAAACACAACTAGCCACGGATTTACATGAAATCAACTGAAATAAAAGAAGTGAAAGTAATGTGATGTGTGGCCAAGTATAGTGTCCCATACTCGGAATTCGTGCTCTGCATTTCTCCCATCCAAGTGCACACACACATCAGTGAGTAGTGAACACACACACACACACACACACATCAGTGAGTAGTGAATACATACACACACACACACACACGGAGAAGAGCGCAGCCAATGCTGTGGCGCCCAGGAAGCAGTTGGGGGCCTTGCTCAAGGGTCTCACCTCAGTCGTGGTATTAAGGGTGGAGGAGAGTGCTGGTTATTCACTCCCCCCACCGACAATCCCTGCCGGACCTGAGACTCGAACCCACAACCTTCGGGTTACAAGTCTGACTCTCTAACCAGGCCATGACTGAAGACATTAAAGTTTAAACTGATTAAACAAATTATGTGTTCATTTTACATTACTGAGTTTGTCTGTCTATATTTGCTCACTTGTTTTTATTCACTCGTCGAGGACTATAGTAAACTAATGTAGGGAACAGTGAATGAGGGTAAAGGGTTTTAGTTTTTTAATGTGAAAATGTTCTTTTAAAAAGGTATTTTTGGTTATTCATAGTTACATTATTAATTTATAGTTACATTTATTTATTCATTGTATTAATATTTTCAGTATTTCCACACTACAGTAAAATCTGTAAAATGAGTGGTAAAACTACTGTAAAATTATTATTATCATTATTATCAAATTTATATTATCAATTTTATGGTGTTTTATTGGCATGACAATTTCTACATTTGTGTTTCTAATCATCACATTATTTACATAAAGAATAAAAATTACATAAAGCACATCATACACACATTTTTATCATATCAGTTTTATATTGATATAGATTTCAAAATCTTTCCAAAATATTGTTTTTTTCCCCAAAAAATGTACAGGTATATGAAATATTGCCATTTACACTGTCTGTGTCTTTGTTAAATATACTGTTTCATGCTGTTTTTATTCAGCCGTCATTCAGTCTGATTCTGAATTCATTATTCTTATTATGACACCCCTTTAATTAAAATATAGGCATATGATTCATAGATCTTTCATCTTTTCAGTATGTAATATTCAGTTTTCAAAAATAATTGCGACAAATAATTTTACTTTTGCATTTGTGGGGTTGCTGCATATAATAATGAAACAAAATGAAAATTCAACATAACACATTAAGAAAAAAATTAAAACAGTGTAGTTGAAAAATAAATGTAAAATGGGTGACATTTAAAAATGAAATGAAATATTTAAAAATATTAATTGTTTTGGCCACCAGATGGAGAGCAAAACTTCATTTTGCCATCATTAAACAATTAGACCACACATATATTCATCTTTAAGATTAAAACTCCAATATATGTGAGAATATTTGATATCTGCTCTGTTTTCTTCTTTTAACCTCTTGTAGATCTGATGTCATTGATCAGAAGAACAACAGCAGTTGCAGCAGCCACGCCCATCAGAGCAGCGACGACCAATCGGATCACAGCTTCAACTGTATCACAACACTGGATGTGAACCTCTGAAAAAACAACAAATGAAACAAATGGACAATTGAATTGAGATTTTTTAAGCTGACTTTCGTCTCTGACATGAACTCGAAAATATCTCCTTTTCTGCTCAACAGAAGAAAAAAAAATCCAAACTGTTTAGAAAGACGTGTGACAGAAGCTCATTCATCATTTCTGGCAGCTTAAGTTATCAGTCTTGGTAAAATCAACAAATTAATTCAGTAAATGCATATACGCTGCTGTACCTGAACATGTGTGACAGAGTTGACTGATGTCCAGATGTTGAGTCTGGTTGCTGATGGGATTGTTGAGCACACAGCTGTAGGTGTTGTTATCCTGATATTCCACCTCCAGAGGTAGAGAGAGACTGATGCTGAGATCAGACACACTGATGCTGGACAATAAACTGTTTCCTTTGTACCAGGAGAGAGTCACATGACCCACATTCACCACTGAACACACCAATGAACAATTCTGCTGTGATGATGATGATGAGGATGATGAAGAACAGTCTCTGCTGATGACAGGGAGCAGCGACGACCAATCGGATCACAGCTTCAACAGTATCACAGCAGTGGATGTGAACCTCTGAAAAAACAACAAATGAAACAAATGGACAATTGAATTGAGATTTTTTAAGCTGACTTTAGTCTCTGACATGAACTCGAAAATATCTCCTTTTCTGCTCAACAGAAGAAAAAAAAATCCAAACTGTTTAGAAAGACGTGTGACAGAAGCTCATTCATCATTTCTGGCATCTTAAGTTATCAGTCTTGGTAAAATCAACAAATTAATTCAGTAAATGCATATGCGCTGCTGTACCTGAACATGTGTGACAGAGTTGACTGATGTCCAGATGTGTGGTCTGGTTGCTGATGGGATTGTTGAGCACACAGCTGTAGGTGTTGTTATCCTGATATTCCACCTCCAGAGGTAGAGAGAGACTGATGCTGAGATCAGACACACTGATGCTGGACAATAAACTGTTTCCTTTGTACCAGGAGAGAGTCACATGACCCACATTCACCACTGAACACAACAATGAACAATTCTGCTGTGATGATGATGATGAGGATGATGAAGAACAGTCTCTGCTGATGACAGGAACAGGCAGACGAGCTGAAAACATGAGACAATAAACAAATCTGGATAAAACTTATCAACAATGTTGAGTGTGTTCACATGTTCACAGTGAGTGTGTGTGTCATCTTAAACTATAAAATATCAGCATGTAAAAATAAAATAAAAATATTTGAAAGACAAATGATCTCTACTCACCATAGACAGAAACACTGAATGTTTTTGATGACAGTTTCACTCTATGTATTTCTAGTTGATAAACTCCAGCATGTTGAGTTGTGATGTTTGTGATGGTCAGAGATAAAGTCTGTTTGTCCAGCTTCAGTCTGTCTCTGAATCTCCCATCAGTACCATCAAATGTGTTGAAGATTCCAAAATCTCTTCTGATTTGAGCTATAATAGATTTTTCAGCTCCAAGTTTCCACAGTATATAATCATCATCACGTATTTGAGTAACATCAGGGTGTAGAGTGACAGAATCTCCCTCCATCACTGACACAGACTCACCAAACACACCTGATGAACAAACAGATTGTACACAGATCAAGGTTTCTGTTGTTTATAAATCCTGAAATCAGCTGTAGTTTGTAGTTTGTAATCTTTAGATGTGAATTGAAGAACAGCAGCAGACACACAAAAGAACACTGAAACGTTTCTGCTGCTGCAGGAAGAGGCAGACGAGCTGGAAGCCATACATGGGAGAAATACGAATCTGATAGTAATAAAGTGTTTATTGCAGCATCAGTCTGTCAGTGTGGTCAATGCTGATACTGACCGCCTTTAACTTCTGAGATGTCTACTGTAAAGTGTTTGTTTGGACTGTCACCACTAGGGGACAGTATGTGCACAGTGAGGGGTTTTCAAAACATACATTCACTCATGTATAGAAGAAAGGAGGCAGGGGCGGAGCTGGGTGGCAGATGGAGTGGCAACCGGCACCCAAAAGCATTGCTGCCCCATCTGCCACCAAAGATTTATCTTCTATTTTATACATGTAAGCACTGTTTCCTATACTGCTTTTTAGCAGCCAAAGATTGAGAAATAATGGTCAGAAAACACGTTTTAGACAGCCTAAATTCACACAAAATGAAAACTCAAATCAAAACTACTTTTCCAATTGTTTTTCCATGTAAACATGCGCTAGACAGACATGCTGCCCGCTGTGCTCACATCTCGCGTGTTTTGCAGATTTTTATTTATTTACTTAGTTTTTTAATGAATGCTCAAAAAATACGGGCAGTAACAACAATGAGAAACAAAATAAAACCGAAGAAAGAAAATAAAAAGGAAGAGGTATTAAATGCATTACAAACTAGCAATAGTTTTGACATTTACAAGTCACTAAATATACAGGAAAAGAACTGCAAACTGATTATGTGCTTAAAGTTTTTTTTTTTTTGTTCTGAGATATTTGAACTAATATGAGGACTATTGCTTAAATTGTATTAAAACAAACAAACAAAAAAAGAGGTCTAGAATTTGAATCTGTGAATGTGAAATTTTGCAAGCAACAGAATCAGATTTATTACTAAACTCAATGATTAGAATATAAACACTTAAATGCGGTCAGAAGGCATTACTTAGGTCGTTTGTTTTGAGGACCAAATGTCTCCACGAGGAGAGTAAAACTTGGAATTTTGACATTTTGGGGCTATTTTTTCAGGCCCCACAAGGAAAACAGCGTATAAATCATAGTTTATTTAATAATGCTTTTTCTAATAAAAATGTGTTTAAGAATTGGACAAAATGTGTAATCATTATGTAAGGTTATCTACTGGACCCCCACCCCTCCAATGATATCCTTGACCACACCATCCCCCTTGATTTTTATTTATTTTCTCCCACTGATGATAGTGAATATCGACTGAGTCTGTAATTCTGCCTGAATTTGTCGTTTGTTTTACATAGCATAATGAAAATCATACAGGCTTCAAACAATATGAGGGGAAAATGATTTTTGGGTGAATGGCTCCTTTAAATAAAAGGACATTAATTCAGTGGTCAATGAGGCAGAAACACTAATTCAAGAGTTTTAAAAGAACACAAAACATATTTAAAGGTCCTCTTGCAGCTACATCTCTTCTCTGATGATGTATTTACTGGCACGAGGGCGGGGCAACTTGTCACTCACATGAGATTGTCCAATAGCAAACCACAACCATCCAGTTACCTCCCCATGGACAGAATTAAGCCCCGCCCTACATTTGTTCTTATTCAAGAAGCAGTTCACCTCGGATGAATGTCAGGAAGAGGAAACAAAAGACTCTGTCCATTGAATGCCAAACAGAACAGATTTCACACAAAAGGAAACTGCAGCCTGACTTTACTTTGTAGTTGCCTAAAATGGACAGCTGTACAATAACATTGCAATGCCTTCGTTTTAAAAATAATCCACTTGATTGTGTCCTTGACATTGACAGATTGACAAATAATCTGCACGGATATATAGGGATGCATATGCAGCTGAATATAAATCTTATATTTCATATACACATAGTAAATTATATTAACATCTCACATTCAAGCAATAAGATCTTTTTTTTTTTTTCAAACATTACACTCTTAAAAATAAAGGTTCTTTATTGGCATTAATAGTTCCACGAAGAACCTTGAACATCCATAAAACATTTCAAATGCAGAAAAGGTTCTTTAGATTTTTAAAATGTTCTTCAAAATGGTTCATTTAAGAACTGTTCATTGAAAGTTTTTTGGGGAACCAAAAAGGGTTCTTCAATGGAATCACTGCAAAAACATCATTTTGGAGCATTAATTTTTAAGAGTGTAGCATTCATAGATTCTGTACTTTATTTCTCATATAGAGGAAGTGAAATTGTGGAGGACCGTTCAATCACATGCTATATTCACAAGAACACACACTCACACTATTCACGCCTCAAGAAGACATGCACACACTCACATACATTAATCACAAACATGGAGTAATAGCCACATTCTCAAGCACATGCTCAAAATGAGGCTGTGGAGAAGCAGTGGTAAAGCAGAGTCTGTAAAGGAAGACCGAGCGTTAGGAAGTAAGAAGTATTCTAACATACTCCAAGCATATTATATGCTATGTATACTATTACACATAATGCAACAATATCCCCATTTTCCCGACCATTTAACTTTAATAACATTGGATATAATTTCACAGTTTCATTGTGTGTAGTGCAATGGCTTTGGTTCTTGCCATTCAAAGAGTCTTATTTTGATGCTCTTTTTGTTCTGTTGTTCCTGTGGTTTCGCTCGGTTTTCTTTAGTTTCTACAGTATATTGTTAGGTTTCCATGGCTTTTGATTTCCCCTTCACCTGTGTCTAGTTTAGTTTCTTTCTAATCTCTTGTATTTATAGCCCCGTGTTTTATTCATTAGTTACTTCTTTAACACAAACTCTTGGGTTGCATTTACCTTTATCTTGGATTATTGCTATTTCTTAGATTACCATCTTTATTTATTAATAAAATCCTGCTGCTATTAGATCCTCGCCCCTGCTGCACATTACATGTAGCCTGCAGCAAAATTCTAACTAGGATAGTTAGGTTGTAGTTAAACTAACACATTAATGAATTGGATAACTTTAATTGAGGTGACATTATAAAGTTCTTTGTGATGGTTTTGACTAGATCCTGAGCTCAGTAAGGCCAATAAACACAAGAGCTGCCACTGAGTCAAGTGTTTGTGGAAGAGCTTTGTCTTCGGTTGCTTCGTGAAAGTTGTCTCAGCAGATCAGGTGAAGACTGGGAACTTTATTTCAGACACATTTTTTTTTATCACACTGAGTGAGCGGAGTTTAACTGTTAAACATGCGCTGCACGATCTTTTCTCAAAACTAGCTTCACTTTTTTTCATCATTCTTGCTCAGTGACTTAATCTGCTGAGGCAGTCATTTTTTGTGGATGTATGAAGTCAGTTTGCGTGCACACATCCATGCCGTAATACATGCTGGGTGTTATTGTTGAGTTTGGCAGCATGCACTGCGGCATGAGTCTTTTGTTTTGTTGATTGTCACCATTACTGAGTTTGGTAGGCTGAGTTTTGATGTCTATATGTGACAGTTCAAACTTTCCCATGCAAAATCATTTTCAAAGCAGTTGCAATGGCTGTACTTAAAGGGATACTCCACCCCAAAATGAAAATTTTGTAATTAATCACTTATTGCCATGTCGTTCCAAACCTGTAAAAGCTTTGTTCGTCTTCGAAACACAATTTAAGATATTTTGGATGAAAACCGGGAGGCTTGTGACTGTCCCATTGACTGCCAAGTAAACAACACTGTCAAGGTCCAGAAAAGTATGAAAGACATCGTCAGAATAGTCCATCTGCCATCAGTGGTTCAATCTGAATTTCATGAAGCGACGAGAATACTTTTTGTACGCAAAGAAAATAAAAATAAAGATTTTATTCAACAATTTGTCTCCTCTGCGTCACCGTAGCGCGATTTTGGAGAATATCCACTGAACGCAAACTGCGTATGCTGTGTCAGCCGCACCACACGGATCAGTTTCCTACGTTTATTTATGCTTTGATTTGAACGAAAACAGTGCATCCGTGTGTCGCGGCTGACACAGCATACGCAGTTTGCGTTCAGTGGATACTCTCCAAAATGGCGCTACGGTGACGCGGAGCAGACGAATTGTTGACGAATGATTGACGAATTTTTGTTTTCTTCGCGTACAAAAAGTATTCTCGTCGCTTCATGATATTCAGATTGAACCACTGATGGCAGATGGACTATT